TGCGTATTTATGAAATAAATTCAGTTTTGGAGCAGATTACTCTGGCTTTTCAGCTCAGCAAATTGTCTCTCTGTAATCACTTAGTAAGGGATCTTACGCTAACTTCAATGAAATCCAGTGTTAGGAATTTGCAATGAAATCCAGTGTTAGGAAAAATTCGAAATCCAGTGTTAGGAATTTTTCTGTCCCCAAGGCAATGATTTTAAAGAGATAACGGTGGAAAATGTAAGATGAAGAAATCTCTTCTAAACCTGTGTGTATGGTATAAAAAAATTTTTCAAGTTTTTTTGAAGCTCGAAGTTAACAATTCTAATGTTGGAGTGAAAAAAAATGAATTGTAATGGAATGTGTGAGATTGTATGCTGCATGTGAACATTTTCCCCAGATATTAGGCACTCCTGACAGGTCCACTAGATTATCCTTTATTAACTGTAGCATTTCTTTCAGGGAGGGTTGAAGTAACAGTAAGATGATTTGTTTTGCAAGTTCATTTTTTGCGAAATTCAATAGTAAAGTTTAAAAAATTGAAGTTGTCAATGATAATGATGGTCGTGGTGGCATGGATACGAATGGATTTTCTGGCAACGCTTCTTCTTATTTGGTTAATGGTCTTTGTATTCAGCTCTCGTGTAACTTCTCGTTGCTTATGGCCTATATTCCTTCTTTATCTTGCCGTCCTATTTCCCTTACAGTATGCTTTCTATGTTGGCTTGCCACCATCTCTCTGTTTCGGTATGTATTTCCATTATTTTGTTTGAAATTGGAAATACTGGAAAGAGTTTGGCTTTTTAGTAATGTGTTTCTCAGTTTTGGTTTTATGCCATGAATTGGATCTGGTTTTTGCTTTATCTGTTTCTTTTTTATTTTTTTAATATTTATTTCTCCATTTTGTTGCTTTTTCTTAACTCTATCATCTCTGAAATATGCCTTGAAAATAGTGAATGCATTTTTGCTTCCTATTCGAGGATTTTGTAGATTATCCGTGGAGTAGATGGTTATCGAATCCACTACAAAATGATAATTTGGTATTTTGGTTGGATTTAGCTAGTTATAACTTTGATTTAGATACAGGAAAGTCGGTGGCCGACTTCCTTCTGCTCTTGATGGTTGCTTGTCAGGTAAACATTATTCGTACTGATTCGGTCTTTGAAATTCGGTCTTTGACTTTTATTACTTTTATTTATTTCAGGAATACGCTTTCCGAAGTGAATGTAGTTCACCAGCAGGTGACAATAAATCCATTTACACTAACAGCTATGTTCTGAAACAGGACAATCCAACATATGATTTCATTGCCGAACAGCAGTCAGTATTCTGTTTCAAAAACATTTAAAAGATTTCTTAGAATTTGATACACTAAACAGCTTGCCCTCTGATGCATTATTTATGTTGAAACTTGTTCCAGGAGCTGTGTTGATTTCTTGAAAATAATTGTCTTCATGTACGGACACTGGATAACTATTATAATGGTGTTAGTAGCTGGTCTGGGTGGTGTATCTTTATTCGCCCTTGGTTACATTATTTTGGCGTTTTGGATACTTTGGCAGGGAACAAGTTTATATGTTGTACCGGATTATCGCAAAGCCCTCAAACGGTGGAATTTACTTCTATACTATACAGTATTTGTCATGTTTTGTAAAGTTGCCTTACAGGTATTTTTTTTTTTGGGTTTCCAAGTAATTCTAGCAGAATCCGGGTATATTCCGGGTTCACTTCGATTTGGCTGACATAATCGTGTGTCACTGAGATATGTCAGCACATCAAGTAGATCCATGTTAAGTTTATTCATTCTAGGCTAATACTTCCATTTACTACTCAATATTTTAATATTTACGCTTACCTTATTTATGTAATTGCTTTCTCTTGGATACTAGTTTAGTGGTGCTCAAGTTAGCGAGGTAGGAGGCATGCGTGCCCAACAAATCTTACGTTTACTTTTATTTTTCCATGTCATTCGGATCGTATTCGATATGATGCTGGTTAGGTTTAATTCGTTTTTCTTTATGTTGTTAAGGGACACTTAACATTTGAAACGCATTGATGAGTAATCTTTACGAATTGGATAAACAATAGAATTAGAACAGTTTTTTAGAATGCAAGTAATTTTATTATTTAGATACGAAAATTGTTTGAGCATATAATAGATGAAGCCGATGATAAAAAGGGAGTTATTTAATGTAAATTATTTACACTGTCTCTCAAATAATGATTTGAAATATTAAGGAAAATATATCAAATTATTTGACTGAGAATATTAGGCAAAGGATTTCTATAACACAAATTTGACACATATAGCACTACTTTGATTATGTAATATTTTCAAAGAGTTATTTCGGTTTGCTACTGACAGCATTGGTTGGCGGCGATTTAAATAATTTGAAACATAAGAAGGATTTGTTGCTGTGCAATCGAGCACAGAGTGGATAACATATACGATACAATTTAGAAATAATTTCTAAAGGCTGTCATTTGTGAAGGATTGACCCAACCTTTCCAAACACATTCAGATCTTTGACTTGTGGCGTGAAGGTGTTCTACTGATATTGATATAGACGTTGGTAACATCATAGAGATAATTGATGGTCTTATTTCAGTACAATGACATTATTAGTTTTAGGCGCTTATAGAAAGGTATAAGTTATAGACTTATGCCCATGTGAAATGTTAAGGGTTTGACTGAAGATCCATAACCATTATATGCCAAAATGCTACCCTATCCTAGAAACGCTAAAATCCAAAAGCGTTTTTTGTTCAAACGTTGTAACTTACCCTGATTTCTTACGTTCAAACCTTGCCGGTGAGTTGCCTTGCCCTAACGTTCTAGACTTTTTGTGGCATTCTTAATGGAATAACAGTACGTTGCAGTTGACAGTTCCGTTCCCTCCATTGTCATATGTTGAGATCGGTTTTTACTGAACGGATTTGGATTTCGTTTATTAGAGATTTTGAAACAATTAATACATCATTTTCAGCAGATTTTTTAAAACTATATGAATTTCAGATTTTTTAAAACTATATGAATTTCAGATTTTCGCGTGTGCTTTTGTCCATGTGCTAATAGAAACAGATCTATGTTGTATTCGCCAGTTATTTAGCATTGTTTGTGTAAGCATAATTCCTGGCAGAATTAGCAACCATTACTTATCCAGAGAACGTAAGTTATTAAATTTAGGTTTGTGAGTTTAAAAATAAACTAATTTTTGCTAGAGTGCATTATTTTCTTTCAGAACAAGAATTCGACAGAGAATGTGCTGTGCAAAAGTCGGAAACACAAATAGGCTTTGACACATTTGCGTTCGGCTTATTAGTGTTACAGCTCCGGATCTTTAATTCATGGTATTTCCAACACTGTGTGGTTGAGTACCGATCTGAAGCCGTTCTAATGAATCGGTATTGTGTGATTCTCCAACATACTAGAATACATTAGAAAATCTCAGAATGTTTAAATTAAATGATTTAGATTGAATCTTTTTTCAATCAATCAAACTTTTTTCCTTTCCAGTGGAGCGGTTCTTCAAGACCAGCTCATTGAGAGAGAAATGATAGAACAGAACAAGCAGCAAGAGAAGAAATTTAGAAATATTAAAATGCGTGCGGACCAAATTCGAAAAGACTACGAAAAACGTCTAAATAAAGCTGGCGCTTTCGTACCACAAACATATGGCCAAGGTATATTATTTTTCTGGAGTTTTATGCAGGTTTTTACTCAATTTTTTTGAATAATGCAGGAAAGCTATTAGCTTTTTTCGATACTGAATTTTCTTTAATACCTCTGCGGAGGTAGTGTAATTATCAGTCGAAGTCCAGAGATTTCTAGATGTTTTATTATTTCGACTCTTGTTCTCGAAAGCTAGATCTGTTGTTCTATTATATTCTTTTTATTAATTAATAGTTTCGTTGCGTAAAAGATTCTTATAATTTTTGAATTTTCAAATTGACGGTGGGGTTCCTGTCTTTTTTTACTAAAATTTTTTTTTATTTCTGAAGACTTGAATTGTTTTTCTAGGAGCAGCTTCGAATTTTAATAATTACTAGTTTTATAATTAAATTTTCAAGCACCGTTTGAATTTAATATTTTTTGCGAAGTTTTCCATTTTAAGTCTAAATCTTCTGTCCATTTTCTCGTATTTGGGTACCAAATTTTGGTTGCTGTTTTGTCCTGACTTTTTCTTGCTTCTTGAATTCAGGTATCGAGTTTTCATTACCATCGACTCATCACTATCTGTATATTTGTTCTTTGGCGTCATAACTTTTGAGTTAAATAAAGCTGTATTTCATTCTCTAGAAGTTTGAATGGTGACATAAAAATTTGGGAGAACTTTAGTCAGTATTTTGGAGTTTTTGCACTCCTTTTTACTAATTCCGCTGTTTTTTATTCGTTTTAAGCTCAGCAATGTTACTAACTTTGCAAACACAACTGTATTAAAAAAGCATTTGGTGCGTCGTGATATGAGTTGTTAGTATATGGATCTTAATATTTGAAAAATATTTCATTATTTATATTTCTACTAGTATTTCGTTCTTTACAAATCCACCATTATTGTGTTTGGTGTGTCTAGGAATTGAGGCGCATTATTCGAACAGTCCTAATTCTTGGTATAGGCTGAGCGATGCGCGTGAACGCTCTAACTACCGAATGCGGGGTTTGTTTTTGAAAAAATCCCTCTGCAAGCATTGCTTGGCCTTTTGTTTTCATAATCTGCTTCTAACAGCATACCCTTTTTATATAACATTCAAATATGTTAACATATCTAACCAGCTAAATTTCGCTACAGTTTTTTAAACCAACGCATCTGTTAGACGTTATTCTTAGAGCAATGTACTGGATCTTTTTATTTTTAGTATTTCTTGGCTATGTTGTACGCTTCTACTGTTAAGCATTTTAGTAATGTTTGGTTTTTCTTTGATTTTTTGAATTGAGGAGGAGGTGAAAGTATCATCTCGGAATCAAAAAAAATCTTGGCGAAAATGATTACTTGGAAAACCAAGTTGGTTACCTCGCGCAAAAGCTGTCAATAAAACAATACTTCTGTATTTTATATTTTCAGCTAAAAGAGCCGGTGACTATTATATGTTCGAATATGATCCATCAGAAGATGCATTAGATGAATCAGTGGAAACGTTTGTTCCAGAAGTGACACCTGGAGCTAGTGATTTTAACAAACTAGATCCTGCTCAGGTTAATTTATTATGTAATTTATTATGCACTGAGGTTATCTTTTTAGAAATTGGCGAATTTGCATCAGTTTTTTAAGTCCTTAACAGACATACATTTTAATTCATTTTTGATCCCATACTTACCTTGTGATTTTAGCTGATGCACACAGCTGTGCAACATGATCTTGATTTGGCTGAAACTTTGGATGCTGTTAATTTGGCCGAGCAAATTGAAACTGATGAAGAAAAGCGTATGATCAAAGCTGTTTCGGATGAAATGAAATCACTCCAACAAGAGGCAACAGTGCCAGAATTATCAATTAGTGAAGAACCGAAGGCTGGTATGGCTTTCCCGTTAATTTCTAAGCTGTTAATAGCATAAATAGATCTCCAACAATCATCGTTTTTAATGTCTTCTAGAGTTCATCTATGTAATCTTTTTCCTTTGTGCAGTTTCACTGTGACATGTTGAGGATACCTGACAGTCTCATACTAACTGTTTAGTGCATAGAATTTTTTTCCGTCTCATTCTGGTTTTAAAAGTTGTAACTTCGCCTTAGAAATAATTTTCATATTTTGAATTGCTTTGTACTGCACGGTTATTACAATTCTAATCTGGGAGTTTTCAGAAGGACAAATTGTAGCAGGCTTGCGTTTTCTACAGAAAATCTTTACTTCTACCCTCGGTTGGTTTGCTGCTTTTCTAAACCGTAGATCTCGTGAACATCGATATGTTGCTTATGTCCTTGGGAAAGAAAAAGAGAAGCTAAAAGAGAGGCTGAAACAGGTCTGCATTATTCTTATCCAATTCATTAAATGTTCTGGATGTCCTTCCAAAATTTTTGATTTTTCACTTGAATTTGTCACATGCAAAAATCTTTCGAAAAACTTCGAGGTCAAGTATGAGATAGTTGGTTTTTGGAGGAACTATTGGTAGTATCGTATTCATTTCCAGTAAACTTAGCTTAAAAGAAAATAATTCCTAAATTACTTTTCCAGCATAAGAGATTCTAGTTTGAATAGGGTGGGTTTCACAACTTGAATTTTTCGTCGTAAATGTAAATTATTATTAGGGGTTTGCTGATGAAGGAAAAAAACAAAAATTTAATCGTGTGTTCATAGAACTGTGTGGTGGAAGTTTTTATCATACTTTCGATCGATTTCTATGGAAATTTTGATCTTTCTTAAATCGTTAATTCCATTAGTATCATTTTAGCCACTGATGGATGCTTCTAAATCAGTGCTTGATGTTCGACAGGAATTTAATCAACAAAATCTGCGTTGTGTTACGAGCGAAAGGGACATTGAACGGTTATTTTCATTTTTTGTTGAAATTTTGTCCTCTATGGAAATCCTTTCTAGAATTTTTAACCTTTAGTGTTGTACATGACTTTAAATTTAGTCTTTCTCATTATCCATCATTTAAATAAATATTTAAAGACAGCAAAATTTTCTTCGTACCACTAGCAGAAGGTGGATTGTCAACAGGTATGCATTATATCTAAGCTTCAACTGGCGTCATCATATCGTGAAAATGTGATTTTAAGATTGGAAAATGAAGTGGAAAATTGCTGGCAACAACGGAATGTGTTTTTGCGCTTCATAAGTTCAGCTGGACATTGCATTGCCGCTCATACTGATGTCATTTGTTACCTTCTTGCTATAATCAACCATGCTCGATGCGCTGGCGTGATTTCATTACCACTACCACTTCTCATTTTCTTCTGGGGTTCCTTAACAAACCCTCGCCCAACAGAAACATTTTGGGTAATTTTTTCATGATTTTGCTGTTCTAGGTCATCGAATTTCTTCATATCCATAACTGCCTGCTTGTGTTGACATTTAATTCAAAGACAACTAAACGTTCGACGAAACAAACTTTTATTTGTAATTTTCAGATTGTAATGATAACTTATACAGAATTGGTGGTGGTAATTAAATTTATTGCGCAATTTGGTTTCTTCTCATTTAACAGTACAGCGAATATTATTAAAGCTGCTAACTCCGTTGATTACATACCCGGGATTTTGGGCATTCGAAAAGCGGATTATTATGCTTTTTGGGATATCGCCTTACTTGTTGGTACATTTTAAATCTAGACATTTTTTTGAGGAAAAAAAGTCATTCAAATCAGCAGAATATTTCGGTTCACATTCTACTAGTTTCAGCTCTCTTTTTCCACCGATATATGCTTCGAAGATTGGGTTTGTGGAAAAGAACGGATGATATGTTTAAAGCATCCGTTCCGCTCGTACAAATAAGCAATTCTCCTAATGCGAATTTGTCGGATATATCGCAAATTAATGTATGTTTTTCGTTTACGAGAAATGGAAGTTAGTTTTATTGTTTCTATGGAAGAGATAAAAAACACAACTGAAACAAAAGTGGTTACTTATTATATTCTTATCAACAAAATTTTAGGCTAATTTGGACGCTACATCAATGACAAGAAAAAGTAAGTTATTTACCTTTTCATTTCCCTTTTTTATGAATTGAAGTGAGTATATGAAATCTCAATTCTGAAAGTATTCTTTGCTATCATCTCAATTTGAAAGTTGCAGCTCCAACACACGTTAAAGGCATCAAGCATTTCTTCAATATGCTTTTCAATCCACCAGTTCGATACATAAAAGATTTGTATCCATTTATGTTCTTAATGGATGTATTGTGTTTCTTTGTAGTATCATTTGGTTTTTCCTCATTCGACTACGGCGGTAGTGGAAGCGTCGTACGAGATATCAGTGTAACATTTTCGGACAGTTTTAAATTCTTGATTTTTTAGTACATGCAAAATGTCACAGAATCTGCAACTGAATTGTTATTCAATTGACTTAAATATCTTTCAGTCGAATCGTGTTCCAGTAACATTTGTAATAATGCTTATTATAATATCATTAATGATTATCATCGACCGAGCTTTCTATCTTCGAAAAGCTGTAAAATGCAAATTTTTATACCAATTAATCATTGTCATTTTCCTCCATATCTGGATTTTTTTCGTTTTGCCGCAGATAACTTACAAGTCAGTTGATCAAATATTTCCAGTTTAATAATTTCAAATTTTATCAATTCAGTCCACGTCAGCTGTGGTAGATTCGTATTGATATTTAAATTCTAAGTAATAAATTTCAGGCCTTCTTGGCTAAACAAAACTGCACAATTTCTCTACTTCATTAAGTGCATATACCTTTTAATTTCCGCTTGGCAAATTCGTAATGGATACCCGACACTATGTGCGGGCAATCTTATAACACACGCCTACGGCATTGCAAATATGATATTTTTCAAACTGTAAGTTGCTTTTATGATCAATTTGATTAAGGAACCATTCAAACAGCCCACATCTCTGGTGTTGGAACTGCATTCACTGGTTAGACGGAAGTTCTCAGTGCTAGTTTTGAGGATATTTCATTTAGTGCATCTGCTTATTCTTGGTCTATTGGGTGATTTGAAACTTTTTAGTCCTAAATAGTCTATATTCCTATCTGTTTGACTTGCTCAAAATTTCCAAGAGTTAGTCTTGTCATTCTTCTTCATTACTTCAGAGATTATTATTTTCTACAGCAACAAAATATCAAAATCAGATTTAGCAGGAGCTTTAGGAAATAAAATTCTTTTATGTTGTTTTAATCACAGCAAAATATCTTGTCCAGATTTATGGCCATTCCATTTTTGTTCGAATTACGGACGGCCACTGATTGGACTTGGGCTGATACCTCTATGCCGCTCTTTGATTTCTTCAACATGGAAAACTTTTATGCAATTATTTACAATCTAAAATGTGCTAGAACATATGAGAAGGTAAGTTATTAGTGTTATATGATATTTGCATTTCTCTTTTATTACTTTCTATTTTATGTAACTTCTTGTAATTTAATGTTTCATTTCTTATAATGTTAGCACTTTTTATATTTTGTCTTTGTTCATTTTAGTGCACCAAATATTCGTAAGTTGTATTGGTTTTGATTTTTTTTCTGACGAATTTGAATTTTCAGAACTTTCCAACTCCGAGAGGTGTGGCCAAAGGTGCTGTAATCAAGTACTTGATGGGCGTACCAGTGATTTTGGGTCTTATTCTTTTTATTTGGCTGCCTCTGCTTTCGTTTTCGCTGCTCAACAGGATTGGTATTGTATTGCCACCGAATAATGTTATGTTGACCATTGGGGTTGAAGGCTATCCCGTAAGACTTTATCGTAACTGCTGTAGGGAAAACATAGAAATTTGATATGTTTTGTAAGAAAGAATTAAGAGCAATAAGCGATCTCCAGGAATTACTGCGTCCTTTGTTAAGGAATTTTAAGAGTATGACATATAATAAACTATGAATAAAGATTGAACATTATTTTTATAATTAGTAATTATTTGATTCGCTCTTTTCTGTAATGCTAAAATTTTCTTTAATTTCAGTCCATGTTCATCATTCAGTCTCAGGGTATCGAACTGGAATATCTAACTGATTCTGAATATCTCAAATTACAAAATGCTTTCGCAGAACATTACACTTCCTCGAATACAGATTCAATATTAAAAGCTCGGCAAGCTGTTGCATTTATCAAGGAATACAATCGGGAAAGCATAATGGTAAGCTGTATGTGATTTCTATTTAATTTTTTTATGTGGTATGCTTTCTTTGGATTAGAATTTTTTTAACTACTGTTACTTAAGTACTGACGAGCGTAACGAAATGCTTTTGCATTGCTTTTTACATAGTGATCACATGATAACATAGTTCATTCACAAGTCCATTAAAATTGAGGACGCTCTAATTATATCAAAATTGTATGAAACTTTTAGTCATGCTTTTGTCGAGTGCAGGATTAAAAGAAATTTCATGAGATTTTGAGTGTTTCTTTGAAATAAACTATCTTTCGATAGTTATCATTACTATAAAAATATGGCGGAATTGGAATTTCAAAGTAACTTTAGAAGTACACAAAAAGGATTTGTTTCAAACTCATTCTCGGCTTCAAAGTTACATTATCCTGAATACATTATTTTTCGTTCTGGATGCTGCAGTTGATCCTCAAAAGAATATATGATGAACAGATACTTGCTGGACAATAAACACTAGAAAAAAATTCTGTTAGATTAGTTTCGATGAGGTCATTTGTGTGACGTGTAGACTAAAGATGCAGCCTCCTTTAGTTAGCATCTGGATCAAGTCACGCTTTTTTAGCCTTGTTATTCTTAAATTGAAAATAAGCAGAAGCGATTGTCGTGTTTTTTTAATGATCTTTTAATTTTTGGAAATTATTCGTCAAGCGAAAAGCTCTTCTCATATGCTTTCAGAAAGTGCTTTTCCGTCCTGAATCATACGTGCCATGGCTCATTTCAAGCAATGCATTGGTTGCTATGAAGTATGAACTCAAAGAAGGAACGAAAAGACTTAATGCTGTCATCAAGTAATCTTTTGTGAAATCTTTTTTTGGAAGTTCTACACTCTTTGATTGTGGATTGTATTTATTTCAAACAATTCACTTCAATAAATTTGTTAATTGGCGAGGAAATCATTCAAAATTTTCCGTATATTAAAAAGTGGAAATTAAATGACAAGTTTTCCAGCTCTTTTTAAGTTGAATTTCTCCGGATCCAATTCTGAGATTTGAATTCTTAGCAAAATTTTTCATGCAGTATTTGCGTTCATTCATACGTAACACTTCACTTTCATGTGTCTTCGGTAATATTTTTTGCCTCGAGAAAATTAATCTTTTATATTTATAATCTATTACAAAAGTAATGTTTTTTCAAGGTTAATGTTCGAACGTTCTAACAGCCGGCATGCTGATTATCCCACACAACATTTCTATACATTAACCATTCCACTACCAGCAAATTCCACTATACGAACAGAATTAACTGAAATTATAGATGGTCAATACAATCGTAGTGTAAGTTTAAGAAGTCTTTAATCGAATCCAAAAATGAAAATTTGTATTGCTTTTTTTTTTAAATAAATAAATTTAATTTTTTCCTCCATATTTTTCAAATTTCATAACTGGTTGTGTTCTTATGCAATTCTGTAGCTGTTGTTGGAATATGCTTGGCCACCATATATTATTATGCCCAATGAAGGAAATATGAAGCCGGCTTCTTCTTTACTTCATGTGATGAGTAAATCAAATCCCAAGCTGTGGGAATCATTTTCCAATGTATCCATGAAACTAAAAACCGCTCGCACTACGGTGGGTGTTTCATCTTTCAAAATCATTCTTTGATGTTTTTAAAGTTTTGAACGAAGTCGAATAACTTGCAAATAAAAAGCAGGAGTTTGGAGAGTGTTAGAGAACTGTTGTTTGTCTTAGGAAAGGAAGACGTGGAGTGCAGCACTGATTCAGAACAACGAAACCGCTATGCTTACGCTGCCACTCGAAAACATCAAATACGAAAGTCGCTCAGAAAAGTATCTGCAAATGGTTGTATTCGTAGATCGTGTTTTCCCATCATTTGTCAGCAAATATGTCCAAGGAGGGTATGCAGTTTGAATTTTTTTAGGAAGTAGAGATTTTCAGCACAAATTAAAACACCTTTCAATCTGTTTTTCAATGCCGTCAAATTCGTGTCATACTGAGAATGGAAACATTGAAATGCAAACTCACTGAACTGGCCGAATATTAATGCATAATTGACTTATTTTGCGCATATTGGAACTACCTTTCACTGGTTCACATTTTTTATTTTTCTTTACATTGGGACATTTTTCTGTTGAAAGCCTCGTGAACTTAGTCCTAAATTTTGATGTTCCAGTATTATCGCAATGTACCTAGCTGTAGTTATGTTAGTGGGACGTATGATACGTGGTTTTGTTACGAATGCTGGTATGGAAGTCATGGTTTCTGAAATTCCAAATCCAGATCATTTACTTAAAATATGTCTTGATATATATTTGGTTCGCGAAGTTAAAGATTTCGTTTTGGAACAGGTATTGATTATTTTGTTCATGGTTAATATCACTTGTCTTAACAATTTTTGAACCTGTTATAAAATTCTGCAATATAGTTGACATTTTAAAGGATTTGTATGGCAAATTGATCTTTCTGTTCCGATCGCCTGAAAACCTTATCAAATGGACGCGAAATAAAGTCAAAGCTGATTAATTTTGGCACCTGGTCGGCATCTTTGTTTGCTTATCAAATGTTATACAAATATATAATGTACATTAATTAAAACTTGTTGTTAATATGCACAATTGTGACAGCCGCAAATGAAAGTTCTGCATGCACACTTTCCTCTTGAAATGAGCTAAAATTTATTTAATTGCAACTTTGTAACTTATCATATATCATAATAACTTGACATATGAGTATGATCGAAACAAAAAATTTTATACTTCATAACTACAACAAGATTTTTTGCTTTGTTTTCGTTTCATATTATTTTCTAAATTTTCAATCGTTGTTTAGTATTTTAAAAATCGTTAATTAGCTTAATTTAACGTTCCAATGATTCGTACCCGGAAAAACTTTCAAAAGATTTTCAATTAATTTGGCTTGGATCAGCCGATCATAGTGATTAGAAAGCTCGGTAATTGTATTATATTTTAGGCCATAAAATTGATTCTTTAATATACTTCCGCTTTTTTTTGTAGATTTTTATGGTTTTGATTGAACAAATAAGCCACTGATGCTATAAACCCTCATTTAGAGCAAAAACACGGCGTACCTTGTAATGCTTGCACGTCTGTTAAATAGTTCTTAATTTTTGTTCTGAAATATGTTCATTTTGAAATTTCATGTATTTGCTGATAATTTTCGTGGGTGCTTCAAGCTTTTGATGGTGAAGTTTTGTTTTACTAACTAGTTTGAAACATTGAATTGATGAATGTGAAAATTTTTACCTTTAGCGGGATTTGTGCTTTGTTCCATTATTCCATTATCGTTGATGTTTTTTTTCATGAAAAAAGAATTTGTGTATACAGTGTTTATTTTTCTCAGCTTTTTTGTTTGAAGCTTTTTGCCTGTTTAACTTTTAAATTTACTCAGTGAAAATTATTTCTTCGCATCAGTGTGAAGTACGTCCCACTTATTATCCTTGCTGTTGTTTATGATATGTAAACCGGTCAGTACTCTGGTGGCCTTTGCAATTCGCTTGGCTTTTTTTTCTTAGTCTTCTCAAATATTTTCAGCAAACTCCTTGAGGGAAAGTTTGTGCAATCATAATTTGGGGTGCAATAATTTTCTAATTATCAGTGAAGCGAGTTGTTGATTAAATAGGCTGATATTCGAGATCGCTACGGTTTATAAAAGGATAGGTGGTAGTTTTTACATCTAGGTAAGTTTTGTTGAATGTAGTAAATTTTCTGTAAAAATTTCGGACATGAACTTGGGTCAAACAATTAACGGAGTATCAATCCAGAAAAACGTAAGTTTTCAGATTGGGGGAAGCAGTTATTACATGTGTCTGGGAACGAATTATGGATTTCATAAACTGATAATATATCCAGAGGTTGAGAAATCAAAATTGCCGGTAGAGAAAGCTTGCAGATGATTGAATTGTAGATATAGAAACGGGAAGGAAAGCGCGTACCAGTAATAGTTTTAGATGTGAGAGGGGGCAGTTTTTATAAGGGCATCTCGCAACTGACGAAGTGGCAGTTTTCAGATGTAAAGAAGCTTTGGTTGCGCCTGAAATTTCTTTTCCCAACCATTTTGCAAGAGTAAAGCATACGCGGAAAAGCTTTTAAATTCAAGTAATGGGATCTTTGTAATAACTGCGACAGTTTCCTAGCCAAATATATGATAATTTATTAATCACCGTAAATTTCTTTTGAACTGTTAGGTTTTAAAAATAAATTATCTCTAAATTTCCGACATAAGGTTTTGAATGCTTTTTTATCAGATATTTCATCTTTGCTTTTTCTTATGTTAGACAATGTTATATATTTTCTCATTACCTCAGAATGGTATGTATTTCAAAGTTAGGAATATTTCATTTATCTTTAAATGTTCCATGGGATGCGGAAGTTTATATTTTATTAAGCAAATAAGAGTAAGCTACGAAATTTTATTTCCAACAGAAGGTATGGGCTGGTTCCGAATCACAAGAAGGTTTCTTCTCGCTTCCTCAAATTTTGATAGTACTTTAAGTATGTTCCAGTGAATTCGTGATTGCATTCTGAAATAATTCTTTCCTTATTTTATCACTTCTTCTATAGGTGTCCCTCATTTAATGATTAATGTATTAGCTGGATAAAGAAAGTGCTTACCCATCATGTCGCATCAAGATCCCATATTTCATTTTGCAAAAGAATTCATGAGAAATGAATGCTCGACTTTGCATAATACACTGTACATTAATTTTAAGGATTCCGGAACTTATTGCATTAAGTCCTATGCTAGATGCTACTGGGCCCTGAAATTTTTTTACATGATTAGATTTAGCATCGTTGAATTCAAATTAATTTTTGCTTCTTGAAACTGCTGCATCACCACCCTTTTTGCTGGTGTGAGTGGATTTTTTAGTTTTTTATTTCGAATGGATTTCTTCGCCCATTTCCATTTGTTTTAATTCACGTGGTGATTACATATAATAATCTTACCACTTTGCATGTTTTCGATTCACTAGCTAAAGTCAACTCCGTTTGTTTGAAATCAGCCATTTCGGAGATAAAGTTTTCGAATAGTACGCCTCTCCTGTCATATTTGCGCTCGTATCGCCAACATCTAATGTCGAATTGATGTCTGAAATGGTAACTGGAAGATTCGGATTTAAAGATTTATCCAGCAACTGAAAATTAAGGAGTAGTTTAGTTTTGACTTCTCTGTCACATTTAAGAGCTGGGTTACACAAAAATAATGAACATATCATAGTATTAAAATAATGAACATGTCATAGTATTTATTAAAATGCTACAAAACAAAAAAAAAAACCTTCCGGGTCGAGAAGGTAATGTTAATTGCCCAAAGCCATTTACGAAGAAGCGTCCCCAATAATCTTCCCCACAAAGTCGAAATATTATTCTGGGCCAGTAAAAATTCTCAAAAAATTGCTCTTTGACAATTATTGTGACACATATTGGTTGTGAAAATACGGCCACATCATCCTGAAATTAAATGAATGTTTCGGAAGAGGTGTGATATTTGTAGCTTTTCTACAAAAACCTCAAATGCAAGTCATTAAGAAAAACACCTCTGCTTGTGGACTTGAATCAGTAACTATTGACCATCTATGCACTGGAGATAAATCAATTAGTGTGCATTGCAATGGCAAGTCGACTTTATATTTAATGCACAATCCGTCGTGGGGAAAGTTTACCGCTCGTTCTGCAACATATTCTCTTTAAAGCTTGAACATTTGTTTTCCATTTGCAAAAGGTAGTCTAATGAAAGAGATCATTGAGTGACATTGTGTCGAAAATTTCTATTGAGTATGTTTTTCAGGTTTAGATTTGTAAACCTCAAAATCCTCCTATACTTACCAATATCGATAAGATAAACGAGTTTTGTAGTTTTTTCAGCTGGAAAATCGCTCATCGTACTACTTTCTTCTTTTTCAAACCATAACTTAAATTCAATCATTTAACGAAAATGCGCACAAGACGTGTGTATGTACTTATCACATAAACGCAAAAGTAAAATTGGTAAAAGCAAAAGACCTGATCTGAACTGGCGTCATCGACACGGTCAAATTTTTCATTTTTAACGACGAACAAGCGTGCTTTATAGATGCCATAACGACTTTCAATGGTGTTACTTGTGGAGAATAAGTCTGGTTCTATGATAACATTTGTCCCATTAATTGCTGTGATTTTGCATAGAACATACTGATTACTTTCATCATATACTTGCCTATGAGACCAAAGATCAATTACTTAAAATTGACTTAGTTAAGTATTTTTTTATACTGACTTATCATATCACTACTGTAGTTGTATGAGATAAGATCTGAAGAAATTATGAAGAGATTCCAAAAATTAAGTTAATGAGTAGAAAGAAGTGGAATGAAACAAACGAGTTATTCTGCGCTGGACCCAAATAGGCCATAATGTACATCATCTGCTTGCTACGCTGTACACTTCTTGTTTTTATTTGATGTTCCTTATGTGGTAAATCAGTTATTGGTTTCCGATGTGTCATCCTAAATTATAAGCTTTTAAATGAGAAATAAATGGATTATCAGTTTATAATATTGAAATTAAAGTTAAAAAAACGTAGATAACCATCTAACATTGCCGGTTTTATTCGCCTATTTCTGTACGTAGCAATTCTTTCTCCTAAGCTATTTTCTCCTGCTTGAATATTCAACTTCGTAGTTGCCTGGAATTTATTGTTTACTTTCATTTGAATCGTCTCATGTTTTCAGTTTTTTCCTCCACTTCTCACGAAAAAAATATATATGCAATTTGCTAAACTTTTCATTTCTTGTCTAATGTTCATGCTACAAATCGTAAATCGTTTTCGATTTCTTTAAGTTTTAAGTTTAACCTTTCCGATTGCGGTAGGTTCTTCACCATCAATGAGAGTAAACACCCTGCTACCTGCAATTCAAGAAGAAATAAACGGACCATTGAAGTACCAAATTGCTACTACCACTGCTATTTCTACTGTTGTTCATGAACTAATATGATTACCATACTAGAAAAACTTTAATTGTAGTTACCGCCTTTTTCAACTTTCGTTGTTACTTCATCATGGCTTCTGCTTTCTTGTTTAGGACAACTTTCGGTTTGCGACTGTGGCGTCTGCAAAATTTGTTTAATTTGCAATTGTGATGAAAGAGGCGCAGAAAATTCGAAGTTGTAATTGAAAACTTAAGTGGAAAACAGACATGATGAGGAAGTATTTGGATAGTTGATTTAATTTGTAATGATGAGCAGTTTACTTACAGTAATAAATTTATCCCTTCCAAAATGAAGTTTTTGTTGCCATCTGAAAGTACACTCTTCTGCCAGAATACTAGATAGTGCGGAAACATGCTGTTTGTTGATATTTTCGGTAAAATCATCGAATGATTGCAATACATCGACTACTGGTTCGCTATATTCAAGGATCAATCTGAATCATATTGCTACTACTACTACTACTATTACTACTACTACTACTACTACTGCTACTACTACTACTATTATTCATGAACTTGAAGATCAGTTATCTACAATACAAATTACATATTCTGATCAGTACAATACAATACAAATTCTGCATCAGTAGATATTAATTAAAATTTTGATAGAACTCTAAAATTTGGCAAGTGACGTAAAGCATACCTGAATTGAACGTCAGTAAGTGGTCTGCTTGCAAAATAAATTCCACGCTCAGGCATATTTCAAAATGATCGATTTTACTGGAAATAAAGAAGACTTAATGCACAGGTCGGTGATTTCTGGATTTGCATATTTCAGACCAATAAAGTGTTGGGTGCTAGGTAACCAAGGCGAAAGATTGCTGATTTCACAAGTACTGATACTTCGTGCATAAAACTAATAGAACTCGGTTGAAGTGGATGGAAGCTGGAAGCTAAACTATATTCATTTCCCATTTTATTTCATAAAATATTTATATATATACATATATATGTAGACATATAGCTCGAAATCATTCAATCGTTTTACAAATACCAGGTTGTAAGAGGATGACTTTCAAATTATATTTTATTTTTAGTTTTAATGTATCGAATGATAGTTTCGATTTCTCCTTAACTTTTTTTCAGTTTTGATAGCTTGAAAAAGAAATTTTGACACTTCATAAAAACTGATTTGAAAAATAAAGCAATTTCAATTAAAAATATTTGAGGTATGAGTACATTAGTCTATGTTTTAAAAATCTCTCTATTTAACAATAGAAAAAGAATTTAGTAGTTAAAGGCATTATTTCCTGAAACAAAGAAGTTTAATTAATTGAATTTGCTCCTCCTGTTTGATGGATTCTTTTATTGCCTTTCTGACTGTTTAAAAATCCAGTGGGTATGTCTGAAAAAGAAACACTGTTTCCAATTGAAAATATAGCGATCGCAATTAGTTTTCCAAACATTCGAAATGCAATCTCTTTCTAAAATAATATGAATTGATTCAAAGTTTCTGAGTAAACTACAAAATAGCAATTCGTAATATCATCGAGAAACTGATATATGGAATCTTGGGAATTCGAGATGAAAATACCATAAATTTGACTAACGAACCTTTGTACACTGCCCGTCAAGCATCTGTTAATAACGAATAATCCTTCAAACCCTTCAAAAAAACTGCTGATTTCACGAAATTGTAGAATTAATCAATTATTTTGTTACTGATAAGGAGGAAATATATTGCACAGAAAACAGATCAAACCAAGAAATTGGTAAGTGATAAGGTGCACTTAGATGCAAAATCCAGCTGAAGTGGACAGAGGTATTTTTATATTGTTAATCATTTCATTTAAATATGATATGCAAAAATTTCGTCTGCAATTATTCCTTTTAACTGTTCTTTGATTGCCAGCTCTTCTTTCACTTAAAAAATTGCTTATCAATGTATATATTTATTCAGTTCCATCATCCGTTCAACCATAGCGCGCACATGTGTCAAATACCAATATCGCTTCTTGCGTAATCATAACCTAGAAGAGCATATAACGAAAATAATATTTTCTTCCATCACTACGATGGCATCACGAATACTTATCATCTCATTCTTGACTTTCATTATGATTCATTCCTGACTTATCAACATTATTCGAGAGTTTGCTATGATAAAAACTACTTATCATCTTATTTAACTAACCAATGCTATGTTAACCCCATGTCAATATTAAAAAATTTACATTATGGCATTCTTTAAGCCTACAGAAATCTAATAGATGAATTTCGTAATCTTTTACAAAGTACTAAATTTCAGATCCTGATAATTTTTCACTCTTTGTTGAGATAATGCATATGCATTTTCCAGCTAGACAAAATCTAACTGCACAAAAATTATTTAACTAACTTATAGTGGTCAATTTAGGTGTGATTTCATTTCCACCACTTTGATTTAAGATCAAATAATATATCAATAGAAAACAAAACATTATGACCTGATGAATTTTCAAAAACATCAAAACCTCACATTTACACTTTCAAACTAACAAAACTTTTCGCAGAATTTCGTCAAAATATTAGAGAACGTTTAGGAATTTTTAGAATACATTATTGTCCATAATAAGAAAATCTGGCAGACGAAACGATGAAATCGTATTTTGCTTTTATAAAAAAATAAAAGTAACTTTCAGGATGAATGACGCCGCGGAAAAAACATGGCATAATTTCATCACAGTGTTTCATAAATTCAAATAATGAGAAAAGTGCTAGCACAGGAAGTGTTGCAAATGCTCAAGAATCTTCTTCACTAGGTCTAACAAACAAAATAATTTGGTAAATACAGTATTGCGTACTTTTTGTAATTTGTTGGAGGATTCTGCCGGGATTCTTATTCAAGTCTATCATAACATCTATTCGAAATTGTCGCTCAAAATTCGTAAATTTTGAGACCAATTTTTGTTATTCACAATGCAGTTGATATAAAAGAAATATTTTCCAAAAACAAGGAACATTTGTTAAATAGAACAAAGCGGTAGTTTAAAATAATATAGGTAGAAAGGAGGTAAAGCGTGGAGGGAGGGATTCAAGTGATGCAACTATGACTGCGGCCTTCCCAAAAGCACATGGGGTCGAGAATGCGTCACGATGCTCAGGCTTAGAAAACACCGGCAACACGACCTCACCTCATTTCCATAAATCTGTTACACCGCCGAACACTGATTGCGCAAAAGCGCATCTGCTTAGATAATACCATATAGATTGGTTCACTCTCTGCCCTACTCTTAATTAACCGTCTTCCCATATCCCTAATTTTACTGTTCTGTCGGTTTTTCAACTCATTATAGGAAAAAAATTACAGTCGCACCACAATTGCTATGTCTCTTTTCACGTTTTTTCACGTAATAGTACGACAATGGCATTTACCTTTCAGGACAATTCCATGCTTTTAATCCTTGAAAAGTTCTCCAAGTCCAACAACCACTCTTTAGATTCTTAGTAATTTAAGAAAACACTCTTCTACAACCTAATTTAAAATACGGAATTTTATGTATTTTTCATTTCATACACGGTCGTCTGATGGTTTATAACGAAATCATTTTAGAAAAAGTTCACTGTTTAAATTGACAAGGAATCTTTTTCCTACAGTTGAAGAAAGCTGTGAAGAATTTCCCATTGTAGCTGCACTGTAAGTTCTTTTCTATTTAGTAAATATGACATTCTGCTGTTCCTTACTTTGTGAAGTCAACAAAATCCTTTTTTGATGTCCATTGGCTCTTAAATTTTGAAAGTCTATTTATTTTCTCATTTCTCCACATCAGTTGAACAATATTTGTTCTCATAAAGTTCATACTTCGCAGTTTACTATATGCTACGTAAAACATAAATGCTGCAATGAGTCATTCAAAAGGGATCCCACATCTCCATTGCTTGTACTGCAAATAAAAGTTTCAGAACCTATTTTATTCAGGTATTCAATGTATTTATATACTTGTGCTCAATACTGAATGTCTGAAATCTATTCATCGTTATATAAGTATTTATTGTTGAAATGAACTAAGGATCAATTGCTATATTAACTGTAAGCTCATTGTCAAAAAACACTACACGAATTATGGGATTATGCGGATGATAGAAAAAATCTTAGAAAAAAAATCTGTTATGGACGCAGAAATAAGAGAAGGGCCAAACTGTTACGAGAATCAACTACGAGCCATGTCGATGTGTTGGTCTGGATTTGATCCAATGGGTTCATACGGTCCCACATCCTGTTATCCGCATCAATCTGCTACATGTCCAACGTTACCAATGACAATTGCCACGCAAAACGACCAGCAGGTGATTTGCAACAATCTTTTCAATATTACTTCATAACTCAAAGAAATATTGACTGATAGAGTGCTTATTGACTAACAGAATGCTCTTTTTTTATCAAACCTGTTAGTTCAAAAGTTTATTGCTTATAGATAGTACATCAATTTCACCCATGCAACTTTGTCTCCTTTGCGCAACATTTCTCAACATTGTCGTTTAACAGCAACAACGCGCCCTCAACCTCATCCTTATCATCGCCTTCAGCATCAACCAAAAAGAAACCCGTCCCTGTTCCTGAAAACCTGAAAGACGAGGTAACAGATTTCATAAAAACAACCGTCTAATATTAGCTTACCAGCTTGCCTAAAACTTTTTCTTATGGCTAATTTTGCGCCCCACAGGACACCGTGTCGGATCTTGTGACAGGTATATGTCAAAAGCAAATACACAATAGAATTATGAGATTATCGCATAAAATTAGAATCAGCCGTATCTAGAATTCCATTTCTCTTCAAAAATTTCAGGCATATCGTGAACGTAGGATGAAGAACAATGAATCAGCCAGAAAATCTCGAGAACTCAGGCGTCAAAAAGAAGAATCAACGCAACTACGATGTGACCAACTCCTGCATGAAAACCATCTTCTGCGAGCCGAATTGTCCTTATTACGCAGCCAAATGGAACAATTTCGACAAATCTTTTCCATTTCTTCCAACAATTCACAACAAAATTTCACTCCCAACAGTTCCGTTTCTGGTTTGTAAATTCTATACAACATGTATACAAAGCACAATTTCTAGATGTTACAGCACATTCACCAGCTCTGATGTACTCAAAGAATCTCAAAATTTCAAAGAAATCTGATTAACATCTGTTACACTTATTAATATATTTATCTGTGAAATAAATTGAGCAAATCTAACCCAAACAAAAAATGCAGTGCAACTGGAATTATTTGCTTCATTTCATGAAATCTGCAGGTAAAGACATCAAGCAATTATAAGCGTGAAAATAAATATATACAAATAAAACTTTACATTAATTTCGAAGTGACAGCAATTCTCTTTCTTGACGCACACTTTTATAACACCTTTTAAATCTACATCTTTGTCCTATAGAACAGCCCGTGAAAATCACAAACTCCAGTATGACGAAAAAATACAGAACATGGTTTACATCAGCCTTCAAAATCAGATCCCACCTCTTCAATAAAAGCTAAAGCAGTTCAAAGCAGTCGATTAAATATAATCACACAAATCGATGGTGATTTTCAATTTGATTCTCTGATATTGATTGTCAAGCTAATTGTTCCATAAGCGATATAAGAGATAATATAAGTTATAAATGAATAACAAAATAATGCACTGAAATGGCGAATAAGAAAGTGAAATGGATTTATTGGATTTACATATATAGACAAAAATATTATCACGTTAAATCAGTTAAAAGGCCGCTGAGTCAAAAATTAAAAGCAAACATAAATACTGAGAAATGTTAGTCAGAAGAAAACTTCAAGGTTTGACGTGATACTAACGTGATATCGTAGTATTAACAACAAGTAATATGAGAACAAGAGAAATGGAGATGTTACTGCACTGAAGAAGTATTTTTGTTCAGCTTCTTAATTTCATGTTCAAGGTCGTATAAGTTTCGCTCCAATATTTCAACTTCTTCCAATCGTCTATCCTCCACAGCTTGTTTTAAGTATCTAGATATTAATGCACTGTTAATTCTATTTCAAAAAAATGCCAAATTTTGGAAAAATCTTTTTCCTTGCAAGAACAAATTCTAAAAATATGATGAAACTGATACTTCACGGAGTTTTCCACCCATATGATACTAACCCCTTGATGATCAAGACTTGTTCCTGCAATGGATCAGCTTTATCTTCCTCTTCAATAAATGGATTAGTGTGAAGTAACACCCTAGATGGAGTCCAGCCATAATCTCCACAATCACTAACAACACCAGAAAAGGAAACAGATTCCTTCAAGCAATTGTTAGAATTTTGCTGAACCATTTCTGTTTCGTTTAAATGTGAACCAAATCCAGGATTTGAAGTTGATGGCTGCAAAGCATGAGGAAGAGCTTTATAACAAAATTTAATAGTAACAATAACGTTACAGCCACGATAAGGTTTTAAGGATGAATCCATGAAAATTCAAAAAAAGCACCACAAACCTTCAAAATGAACACATTTCTCTTTCGTTCCATTTCTATTCGATGTTTGATATCAGCACGTCTTTTTTCTTGCAATTCATTGTAGCGATCTTCACTTGGATGAAGATTCATTTGCATCACTAACCCCTAAACAGTAATTTCAGGTAAGAAATTAATGTATGATGAAGAGATCATGCCACTAATTAATCTGATCATTAGGGATAAAATAATAATGACTGGACATGAAAAATTAACACCAAAATTCTAAAAAAATTGGCAGAAGTGAAATTGAACCTGCAATACTTGCAAAGAAAAATCTCGAATATTTTTTCGGATGATTTGCTCCCGTGGTATACAACGCTCCGAGGTATTTCCTTCAGTTGCAGGATGTGTCTCAACACGAGAACTAAATTGAAGCAAAATGTTCAAGTTAATCATTTTCAGTTAACGATTTCAACATGAAATAAGAGTTGATTAAATTCACAAGTGCATTCTGCTAACCTTACAGAATCAATTTCTTTCTGCAGTTGTGTCAATCGACTTCTCAATTGAACAGCAGAATGCAATGTATACATAGTCTCTCCTCGTCTGAAAACTTCGACAGAACTTGAAAATTTTATTAGATAATGAATTTTCAGAATCTTTCCACAAATAACTTCAAATTACTTATTAAGTCAAAGGGAAGAAGCACTAAAATACTACAGAAGTAATACATTAACAAAAATTATCACACACCCACCTTAGCGATTCTGAAATACGTGCATAGGAGGAAGCTAGCTTCTGAGCATCACGAAAAAGAGAACAAAGGCGCTCATACAGTACCACAAGCATTGGTGGCGAAGTAAGCATCTCCATTTTTTCATTGCGAACATCCAGCAAAATCTTACATTCCGCACAAATTCTCAAGTGTTCATTTTCATCCTAAAAAATAGAATAGGTCCAATAATTTCTACAACACTAATCATAACTGGAATTCTTCAATCAATGAATCTTTACGTTATTTGCTCATTATTTTAATGCATAAAGAATAGAACTAGCAGAGAAGCTCTGTGAGACGATATATTCCAAGCTCAGATAATTTTACAAAAAACGTGATGCAACGGTAATAAGTTATTAACAGTAAAATTCATCATGACTTAGAAAAAGGCTAAAATAACCTGCTGAAGCAACGACGATAAACTGATTTCGGTACCATCCCGCTTCACCAATGATAAAGTTGAGGAAAATAATTTTTCGCTTTTTAATCGCACTGACTGCAACGATTCACTGGATACGGCTTGCTTAATAACTTCAGCAACGGACATCGAACGTGACAAACGACTTAATTGCTCTTCCGGAATATTCGTCTCTGAGTTATTTATTTCTTCCAGCAACTGTGCAGCAAATGCTGGATTCGTTAATTTGCCTGAAAATATACGAAAGCTGTACTAAGAAATAGCAACCCAAAAATTTAAACACATATAACGTGTTGCAAAGTTAGAAGATAATAATAACATATACGATACCATCTGATCTATTCCATTGACTAAACGATCAAAACAGATAATGAAGAAAGTACAACTACTAGCATTAACAGCATTACAGTACCGTGAAAAAAAAAATGATTTCTGCAATAGTAAAAGTTCGAAAAACGTACGAGCATCGGCGAAAGAAAGGAATTTTGAGCATGCATGACACATAATTTCGCCACATAGTCGACAGTGATGCCGTCGCCTAGTCAATGAAAATTTCATTGCACAAGTTCGACATTTCATAACATCACGATCAGTTACCCAAGATACTACTTCACGTTCAAAAGCTGCAAAAACTTTCTATTTTAATAGCAAGAACTGTTGCTGAAATTGAAAGGTTTCATTTGCTGCAACAGATAAGGTTACTTTCAATGAGTGTTGAGTAGATTAAGGCAATATCTTAAATTCTAAGACAGTATGTGCCAACCTTTGCGCTTACTTGGATCAAAAGGACATTGGTTAATTAATTTATCAAGTCTAATAATCAAACTATTTGTTTTTACAGCGGCATCGTTCATACAAGGAGATCGACACTTCAAATAAAAATCCGTATGATTTCTTGTAATTCCTGAAAAGGGAGAAAAATGAAAAAAACATCACAGTTTGCAGAATTTTAAATCCTCAGTGCTAGTCAGGATATGAAAAATGTGTCCTACCACAGCTTAACAAGTCATTCTTAACTACTATTCCTCAGTGAATATGGCATTCCATGTAAAACAAAATGTAAAATAGATATTTACATTGATCAGACTCACCAAGATCCTGCAAAAAAGTAAAGGTGTGTGCTGAATGAGGTTCTTCGACGCAATCACTAGCCGTATTGCATACACTTCTTGAAGCTATCGCTGCTCCCCCATTACCCGAGCTTGTAATTAAAAAGGATGCATCTATGTGTGAAATCTTTTGTTTCGCTTTGTCGAAGATACCTGAGCAAATCGTTTCGTCTCATCCTTTGTATGTCCCTTCGATCTTTTTCCACATGTATTTATACATATTTCTCTTGATTTGTAATAACAAAAAAAAGAAAATCTAACGACCCATATACAGGGAAGCTAAGTATGCTAAATTCATGTAAGCTCACCTTTAATATGGTCAAGAGGATAGTCGGCGGGTGTCGATTTTGGATGGTATTTTTTAACATGAGCATGTAAAGTGGTTAAGTCACCCAAATCTTGCATACAAAATGGGCACAGAAAACCTTGTCTAAATGCACCGCCCAAGTCGTATGTGTCATCATTACTCATATCCATGACGAGAGTAATGCTCCTCGCATATCACAGTCAACACTTCTACCTGGAAATTTACATAATTGACAAATTTTCCCAAAAAGTTTGACAGTATTTGGGACTAACTGTGACCACCAGAAAGACTCCATAATAAAACTTACTGTGTAAAAAAGGCGACTGTTTCTACGAAAAACACGAAGCTAATTCATTTGCTCCTTACCATCGTCTCATTGAATTACAGCAACTCAGAAAGACTGATCATGGAATAGTGTGTAAAATATAGAAAGCAGAAATGAACTAGTTGATATAAAATCCCCTATGTTTCAGTCGATACTAATTTTTCAGTTAAGTTATGGAAAGCGTCTACAATAATGACTATATTTATATTTACGCTTTATACCCGCTCATAACAGTCCTCCTAACGTTAAATGAACGATCCTTACTTCAATGCAATAGCACAAAACCTAAGCCCAAAGCAGAACATGTTCTATTAAATACATCTAACTTAATGGGGCCAGCCGGATAATGTATTAAAAAGCGGCTACGGTCAGCGTTTGAATTAAGAAAGAATTACCTGACGCCCCATTCAAATAAAATGAAGAATGGCTGAGTGGTAGGGTTAGTTAGTTTAGCAATACTTAAGAAGAATGTTTGTCCCGCATGGATCAAGTGGACATTGAACTCACCAACTGTTGTAGATCTACATTGAAATTATGTTCCTTTCTAAAGATTTGTATGTTGCAAACACTAAGATATGTTTCCTGCTCTTTAGAGTTTTTATGTTTCCACATGCTCTTATGGCTTTTATAATAAGGTTCAGAAATATTTTTTGATTGACTTGTCAACAAGATATATGTTAATATTGCTTGTAACACCTTTTAAGTTACTGTTTTCATGGCATTTATTTTATTTTCGAACGTTGAAATGAAGCGATAATTCTGTTTGATTCATTTGTGCAAGTAATTCTCTCGACAGATTGTCCTATTTTCAGATTTGGATGCACGATTCGCATTTCTGTTGCTCTGTTACATGTTGATCCAGTACTGAAGCTTTATTATTAAAGCACAATACGCATGTCAAATAAACAAGGCTCAGGATATCGGTTGATAAGCACACGCATACTCTTCAGTTATACGCTAAACGATCCGATTTGTGTAACAGATGATTAACTGTTAGCCTTTTGCAAAGTACAGCGGCATTCACTTTTTCCTATCGTGAGGAGAAATCGTAACTTGAAATTGCTGTAATGCATGAAACTTTCATGAAACTGTTCCCTATTTGAAGTATCGAACATTATCAGTGTTTGCATTGGCATTTTTGAAATAAAGATGATGCGTGAAAGATTTTTTACGTCTTTACAAAAAGCAAAAGTCTGGTCTTTCCAGAGTTCGAAACTTTGAAAGGTGACAATTTCGAAGGTAGCTGAGAGTTTCCTATAATAAATTAGCTAAAGTTTCTTGGATCTAGTAGCATATTACATATGGGACTTGCGAAGTCTTTGTGAATTCCACAAATGTGACGTCCCTCTACTCCCTCAGATTTACAGGTTATTGAATAAACAATAGTGCTTAATAAAAGAACGAACATGTCAAGGGTGAGCATGCAGAGGATTTCCTTTCTGAAGCAAATTGTACATGTGCTCAGTCAGATGGGCGACATATTTCAAAAACATGTTCGACAAGCATGTTGTGTTATGTTGGTCAGGGACTGAAGGAAGAAGAATTGTCACACTGTCATCGGTGGATACGGCAATTCTCTCTTAACACCAATTGCTTATTCCTTCATTAGCCAGGGAAAACGATGTCGGGAGGTATACGAGGAGTGCCGACAGGGAACGAAACTATATAACACAGCCTCAAAAGGAGACGGAACTACCGCGCAAGGGTAGAAAGAGTATGATCTTGGAATAAATAAATCTTGTTTCTCCTCTCTTTAAAGAGGAATGACATCTTTTCAAAAAAAAACGAAGGAAAACCTGATGCTCTTCGGCACTCTATCCCTCGAAAAACATTCCATTTCCATGTTGGATTTATCACCAAACTGAAGATGCAATTCCTCAGAAATAACTTTAATTCTCACTGTGAAAGGAAAATTTGGTGCTTTTCAGTGATGTTTTTGGAAGCCCATACTAGCGGCAGATTTCTGCAATATGCAAATCTGCCGATCCTTTTTCAAATTTGCTGCTTTCTAGTTTATCCATTATCCAGCATCACTTTGCCTTGTGTGAAAAGCAGCGGTATCGGTAATTTAACGTAACAAAAAACGAAGTGAATAAGAATTTATGGCAAATGGAGTGGGTAACTCAAAGTTCGAACAGTTCTACTGCATAATTTCAGGGACATGCATCTTGAGATGTCCCAAACACCTGTTAATCGTTTCCAATATCACTGAACAAAACAAGCATAGACGTGCCACCATATTCGGTAAATGATTGGTGAAGGAGAAGGGATAAGTGACTGAATACGAGTAGAGCGGTTACATGTGATTGGCAAGGGGAAACAAGAGGGAGAGGCATAGTACGGGGGAAATAAGAGGGAGTGAGGCGAAAATGGCGGAAGTGAGATCTGGTTTTTAAAAATTGGTTGGAAATGGGTGCACCCCACGAAGGAGGAGAGGGCTAGGCAGCATAGGAGGAAGGTTGAAAGAGGAGAGGGTTCTTACGGCTCTCTTCTGTTATTCCCGTACCCGTATTTTCTAATCTTAAATTCCCTCCAACAACAACCACGATAGCGACGGTCAGAATCGTCCCTTGCATAAATCTTCCGTGTATTATACCGCACTGTACCATGTCCTTCTCGAGGTGAATTAAGTGGCGACACAGGCCTCAATGCAGTTCGTCAAATGAACTCAGCTCTAAGTTGATCGCTGAGACCCACGACAACACCAAAACGCCGTCGTTGTGATCCTTTGTGCTTCGATCTGCACTACTCTCAAATAAGAACAGAAATAGGAAGAGGTCCTCACTATTCCTGCAACAGTGCCGCTGTTTGCTGAAACTCCCTTCTTCCCTCCTTATTTACCTCTTTGTTTGAATCCATCATCTCCCATTCACTCGCCTCCTCGACCTCCTTCCCGAACAACGATGGCGATAATGAAGGATGCTGCGGCACTGCTCACCTCTTCACTCTTATGCTAATACTCCTCCTCCGTAATTGTCAACTGATCCGATATATGACCCTTTTGTCTTCTTTTTAGGATACTTCTCATCTCACGAAAATGCTGCTCAGTACGTTCTAACTGCTTTATTTTCTTACATCCGTATTAATGTTGACTGTATGAAATTCTCTCGAATTCACTGAACGTTATTATGTCCACATTGATTCGACTGAGCAGAATTATCTGCTCTTTCATTGAAAATCTGATGTTGTTGTAAATAGTGAATTTGCCTATTACATGGCAAATTACTGGAATGTGGAAAAGGCTATGTTAAAAAATGACAAGAAATCCCTGAAGCTTCAGTAAAACGAAGAGAATAGTTTCACGTTTTGGCAGAGACCAAGCAATACGGATTATCGGTAGACAGATTAAATAGAATATTTAAGGCTTAATGTCATAAACTTACAAGATATCTGGTATGGAGATCTTACTGGACGCATTTTCAGAGGACATATAGCTACTTCAACAAATATATTTTGCTTGTCTGCAAAAGTAGGTCAACTGCGTTTGTAATGGTGTACTAAGCGATGAGTGCAACGAAGGTGAAGGGTGAAAAAATGTTGAAGTTTGAATGGTCTCACTTTATCTTCAAAATATTATTAATGAAAAACTGCGAACAATTAGACAGCTTAAGAAACTGGATGTTGTTGGATTCTTAAATGGAATTTTCGTCTCCAAACTGCAAATAATTGAGAATATGGTACTGGGAGAAAGAAGAGGGGTGGACAGAATAGTAGTTTGTATTTGGGAGCAACAGATGCTCTCAAAACTAGTCCTTTGAGCATGTGTTTGTCCGTGCGCATCATTGTGTGCTTTTGAAAAGATAGGTCGTGGACACATAGATACATACAAACTGAGATATATACATTTTATAAATTTGCTGGCTGGGTGCGAGGAGGGAGTTGCTGTTTGGAAGAATTCCGGTTTCGGATTGCGCTGTGAATCGCCTAAGGCTTTGTCCCTCATGTAAGCAGCTCAACACAACCTCCTTCTGATGAAGAATGAACGAAGATTTTGCATTGCAAAGAAATTCGAAGGCTATGGAACTATGGATCTACCGCCTCGATTTGAATTCGTGTTTTCAGTTTAAATTCGTCAGTGAAATGAGTAATGTCTTCAAATTTTTCGGTTTTTTGGCTTTTTGAACAGATGCGCATGTATAGTTCTTTTCAGATAATTCTAGCTCTTTATCTTTCGTCGCAACATAATGTGTTCATACTAAAATAATAAGGCTTGCACTTTCACGATAGTCTTCCGTCTAGAAAATTGGATTGTAATTCGAAATTACCTTTATTGAATTCATTGCTATAACTTGTAAGATTAAGTTTTCTGCTGAGCAAACTCTAGCATGCTTAGTAAACTATTCCACAATATAAAATAGTTTCATTTAGATTATTCAGAATAGTGCATTCATCATTGTCTAATCGCATCAGGCAGTTGGTATTTTCTAGCCGGGCAGATCAGGTGTGCACTTTCTTTCAGATTGATCACAACATGACGGTACTGAAGGTTTAGAAAGATCTAATTAAGAAATCCAGTACACTCGTCCGTTCTGGTATTTTTTCTGCACTTGTCCGTTTTGGTATTTCAGGTAAGGGTAGGTTGGGGTGAATGATTGGTTGCCTGCTGTGGGTTTTCTCGTATCATCGTCCTCCATCCTGTTTGCGTTAGGCTTTTTTAGGAAGCAGTCGAGCGAGCCATCCAGCCGGTTGCCTCTCACCCGCTCCCACGCCTGTCCACTCGACAGTCTCTTTTCTCTGTTCCTTTGTTCATCTACAACCCATTTTTCTATCAGCATTTGCCCAATACTCAAAATAGAAAATAGGGGACAGCTTAAAGCAATTGCAGTCAGGCCGAGGAAGAATTAGCAATGTGAGGAACAGATATTCTTTCTGTTCTCAAATCATTCTTGTAACTATATTGTTGATTTTGATAGTGATGCACACAGATAGCAATAATGCTACCACTGAAAACCGTTATGATTTCTGTGATTATGATAATAGTAATGGTAACATCGAATGATGATCACAATGGCATAAATAAGGTCTATGTTGATATGTACAGGTGTTGACAATGAAGCTGAACAAAGTAAGTTTCGATGACCTATTTTCGGAGAAATCTGTTTTACTACCGTTTTCATTATCTTTTCCAGTTTTTTCATCACCTCTTATTTTTCATTCTACTTTATGCAGATATTTGGAATGCTAGCCGTTCGGTGTCAATGTATAGGTCACATTATTTCATAACCTACTGAATTAGCTGTCCATAGAATCCTAATTGCAATATTCACTAATAAACGTATCATATTTCACGTCTGAATTTGCTTAATTTTTGAAGTTCAGCTTCAAATTCTGTCATATTAGCAGTAGTTTTTTTTTTTTAAGGCTTTATGCAGCCATTAACCCGTCGTCTACGTGTTTAGGTGCATATCTCACAATCGAAGATATGGAATGAATTTTTGCTAGGTATCAATAGAACTGATAAATGTTGTTAACAATAACTCTGATTTTATGAGGACATCCTACGTTATCTGTGTAATCACATTAGTATCATAATGAAGATTTGTTATGCTTCCTCTATCAAAATAGTAAGTAGCGTCTCGAGAACCAATTTTAGTTAATGCAAAATTATGGAATGCCATGGAAATTTAATGACTTCATGGTTACATATCTTGACAATTTTTTCTTTTTGTAATCTTTTCCGTAAATAGCAATGTAATCAGCTTTTTGAGTAATTTGGATTTTCCTGTAGTGTTTAATTCCGTTTTATTCACAGCTAAGAATACAGCCTACTTTTATAATCTTTGATTTCGTTTATGAAATATTTATCCGATAAAGTGCTGGAATGCAAACAAGCTCATTTAAGCGCAGAAGGCAGATGCATAGTGGAAAATACTGAGTAATGGATATTCAAATTTTTATATTAAAGTTCATCTACCTATTGCTTGAAAGAGGCCAACTAACTTTTGTAATATCTTGGTCAGATGCAATTTTTTAATTTTCATTTGAACTTCGAAATTTGTGATGGAAAAATTTTCATAACAATTTGGTTAACCAAGGACTTGAAGCTTTCGTTCGATGATTATGTGCAGATTTAGTGTGCTCATTAGTAGCGTTGTATAAGTTTCCGTTGTGCTTTTTTTCACATTTCCCTTTTTTTCGAGCTTTTATTTGTACCAAATGGCTCATTGTGAGGGAATTTAAAAAGGTGTACTGGGTAGCAACCTTTCTCCTCAATGGAGTACTCTGCACTTTTTATGATCCATTGTTTCATCTTCGCTCACCTTTCCCGCTTTCAAACTTTCCATCTCTTCACTTACCTTCTTTTTGAAATAGTTACTCTTACTGTTTGTCTTGTCTTTTATCTCTCGGTTACAAAATGAATTTTTATTTTGGATTTGGTCCATTAATTCACTTAGTGACAGGCGAGTGAATCATTTCGGTCCAGATGATATTATGTTTAATAGTTTTTCAAATGATGTAATGTCCCACCTTCCTCTAAACGCTTTCCTCAATTCTGAAAGAGCAAATTGTTGTGCCGAGGTTGCACACAAATTGTAGAAAAAGGAATACCATGTGACGTAGTCAAAGACTTTCCGTTCCTTACTCAGTCATTATCGCAGATTGGGGTTCTCAAAGTCTTAGCAGTCCTTACTCTCTCAGTTAATAGTAGTACAGAAATTGAGTAGTCATATTCTCCTCGGGAGTTGAGATTTCGAGATGAAGTCATATTTTACTAGGTACCTGAGTATAGGAATTCTTTGGTGCATAGGAGTAATTTTTATCTTATATTCCGTCGGTAAATTGTTTTCTTTCAATCCTGTAATCGGATAGTCGTCCTATCCATTTGGACGTCTGCTATAGGTTGTTTAGACACCTGTTTTGATTGCGCGACTAAATAAAAATCTTTTATTTCATTAGTAGTTTTATATTTTTTGAGGGTCATGCATAATTCGGAGCTGACATACATGTAGAACTCATATGGTATAGGGACTATGATGATTTCTGTTAGTAAAATTCAAGATTTTTATTTTGTCCTGTAATCATTTCTCACTATCAAGATACGTATTAGAGTTAGCTTTTAATATGTCAGGATGGTAAAGGAGAGTGAAATGCGTGCATTATTTTCTTAGTAATAAGTGACACTTAAACCATGTGGATACATTTATATAGAATATTTGTAATTGTTGATTTTGACTCAAGACAGTAAATGCTATGAATAAATCTTCTCTAAAATATGTGATGTCAGAGGAGGCAAGTTCAATGGACACCTTACTAGTATAACTTCCTAGAAGGAACTTGTCGAATAGGCTAAAGTCGCAGGAAGTACATGAAACTAGAAAAAAGCTAAAGCATAAGATACGGAAATCTATCACGATTATGTGTAGGAGGCAGAAATATAACCAGGAAATGGAGGGAATGTATTGTTATAATCACTTTAATGCCTTATTAAATCGAAATGATAGCGTCTAATGCCAATAAGTTGACGAGTTGTATTGTTTTCTGGTGCAAGATCATTTACAAATTTATGTGAGAAGGATATGAGGACTTCAGCTGAAGAACCTGAAATGCGAAAGAACTGATAATCTTCATTCCTATAACTTTACATTATTAAAGCTGTGACATAGTTTTGTGGTATAGATCTTTTTTCATAATCCCCTTAGATTTTTGAGAAGTATGTAGCTGTGTTATCTACATGCTATTTCGGAAATTTTCTATGTTTATGTGATTTAGAACGGTGAGAATGCTATGGTTGACGAAGTTCTGTATTCGATGTTTAACTGCATTAAATAGAAATGAAATCGCATCAAACATTAAATTTTCCTTTTCAAGACTTCATTTCAAAAAACAGTTCAACTTAGAATTGAACAGTTAAATATTTCAACAATGTTGCCTACCGTCTGCAAGCAGTTTATGCAAAAAATTGATCTGGAAACCATTGGAAAGCAAACGATTTCGCTAGTGGTTGTGATGTCTAAGCATTTACGATGATCAAAAAAAATTGCAGGTAACACTTTACAGAAAACTTCAACTGCTACCGTTAATACTGGATATTGTCATACTGACATAAGATGGGCGGTTCCACCATGAAAACGGCTAAAGTGTGGAAATATTTTATCCAGCTACCGAGCGAAGAACAAGCTGCTGAGTGCAGATTATGTTGCAAGAGGATTAAAGCAACGAATAGCAGGTGATTGGTTCATTTTTTACTCGCAATTTGTAAAAGTTGTCACATTATCCTGATTAATTTTTTTCAACATTTTAGTGAGAGACTTGCTGAATTTTTCAATAATGAAACAAAGATCGTACTTTTATTCCATTGCTGCAAGTGCGATGATCTATAAAAGATATTTTGAAGAATAATGTTGTAACAAATTAGGAATTTCAGTACAACAGGTATGATTCGCCACTTACGCAGCTGTCATTCCAGTGAATACCAAGTGTTGCAAGCAGCACGACAAATTAACACCAGTGCAAAGCAAGGTCGCATGTTTGTTTTTTTGAAATAAAATTTAAGACCAGAAATACAGGAATAATTTAAAAGTTCTTTTCTAATCATTTATGTTGTTTTCAGAAAATGAAGCTTCGAACATCAGGCAGAATAATCCAATAAAAAAATCAAAAGATATGACAAGCCATTCAGTCGCTAACATTATCGCTACAACGTTCGATATAAGAGTATGATACACTTTTTGATATGACTATTTGCGTTATCATATCCATTTGCTGTTTTTACGACCATTTTAATTTCAGGGATTTAATTGTGAAAATATTCTTCCATTCTGACAATACAGCTACTAGTTACTTAAAATTTTTGTTTGTTTTTGTTGAATTGAAAGAGTTTTGATTTTCAGCGCAAGCATTTGGAAAACAGCATTCGCTACATATGTGCAGGTAATGGTCCTGAACAGAAGAAAGCAAAATTTGATGAATGTTGCAGTGCCGTTGACTTGCGAATGGAACCGATCAGAATAAGTCGCAAAGAACAAACAGAAAAAACTAGGATAGTAAAGGGAAGTTTCTGGCCCGATGATCATCCGGATGCACAAAGAATTTCGGATCAGGTTTTCTTTTCACTGTATTATAATGTTTTACCTTTAAGTATTTACTGGAGCCATGGTAAAACGCTAATATCATGAGTTGCAGAAATGTATAAGAGCGTTTCTGGGTTCTGGGTGTTTTGCAAGGGATGTTTGGGTCTGAAAAATGCCTCATTCCCTGTTTAGTAATTCTGTACTGGGGAGTGGGAGTTCTCCTCCTTTCTTTCTCTACCCTTTCCTGGTTTCTTTTTTTTGAAATTCTTTCGTGCGTAAGTAATATTGCGGATAGCATTCTTTATTCTGTGACGAACGAGATCTGCTAGCAACAGCAAGAAGTTGTACAGCGCCGTTTTTTCGAACCCGTTGTTATCAAAGGGAGAGTAAGGACGGAGACCTGTGAAATGCAATTGGTCCATTGTAGCGCCCAGTCAATCCTTACTGTGCTCTCCATATTCTTTATTTTGAAATCATAAGAAAGAGAATGATAAATCTAGATGTCGATAAATGCATTCTTTGAACCGAAAATCACAAATTTTGCATTACTTTCAACGTTTTTGAGATATCTGATCTCTAAAGGCATATGAAAGGCAGGATCACCACAAATCAGTAAGCATTTTATAAAAAGCAGGCTTTTTGTAATTCAAGCTTCCCCCATTATTTGTCACATTGTTTGCAATTTATTCACGAACTTATGTACTTTATCAAATTTGTTGCTAATTTTTATCTAATATTCGAAATAGCATAGTTTTCGAGATATT